GTCCCAGCCCCCCGATTCTGATACACAGGAGGGGCTTCCCCAAACCTGTGAGAGAAGGGAATGAAAAGACGATGGCGTTTTCCTACGAGCCCTTGGAAGCCCCCTTCAGACATGTTTTACACGGCAGAGAGGACACGGGTTAGTCTTAAGCTCTCGCTGCACACAGCTCTTCTGGGCAAGTAAAATGACTCGCATCCTTGCAGGCGCTACACAGCATCTCGGGGTACCAAAGTCATGCCCTCCCTCTGTATGCCGGGCACCCCGCCTGCCCTCCACACCAGCTCAGGGCCCAACCTCCTCAGTACTGAGCCCAAAGTCGCAGGGCACCACGGCGTGGTACTTGAAGCGACAGGGCACGTTGTCGATGATGTCCTCATAGTCCAGCCGGTAATACTCGTCCAGGTATTCCCCGAAGGTCCTGTCCCCTGCCCGGGGAGAAACCACGCTGCTGGGGTGTCCGGGCCCGTGGGGGCCCGCCTTGCCTGCTGCCACCCGCCCCGGCCTCACCAGGCTCAAACACGGGCTTCTCCTGCCCCACAGCCGTGGCAAAGGGGGTCTTCCGCTTCTTCTGGCCCATCGAGGGGGCCTGGCGCTTCTTCTTGCGGGGCTGGCTGGGGTCATAGTCCGCGTCCATCTGTCAGGAGGCACAGGTCAGTCAGTTCCGAGGGGCGGGGCCGCCGACCCACCCTCCCCCAGGCCGGGCCCTCCCCATCCCATGGTCCAGGCACCTACGTTGAAGTCGGGGTCCTCGCAGTGTAGTTCTTGCTGGGCCCAGGCATCGTCCTGCCCTGGCCCCTCCCAAGTATCCCAGTTCCAATCATCTGGCCCCAGAAAGGGCAGCCGGACAGTCAGGGGGACACCTGGGCCCTTAGGCCCAGCACCCCCACTGCCCAGGGTGCCCGCTGTCCTCACCCTCCAGCCCTTCCTCTTCCTCAAACTGCGGCTTCTCGTTCTCTATGGCGCCGTAGTACTCGGCCCCGAAGTATTTCTGCAGGGGGTTGGGGAGGCAGAGGGTCAGCGAGGGGGCTACACGGTGTCCCAGCGCTTGACTCTGGAGCCTTCTGCGGCCCTCCGCCTCCTCGGGAGGTCATGCTATCTGGGGGAAGTCCCGAGTACCACCACCCTTCCTCTTACCACACTCCCCAGCAACTCCCCCACCGCACCCCTCTCCCTACCCACTGCAATGCCGGCCCTGAGCAGTCATGAAGCGCTTACTATGTGCCCAAGCACAGGTGCCTCCAAGTGCACCACACCCGGCCCTGCCGATTTATACCTGGCCTGGCTACACACCCCTCAGCCCTTCCCAGACCTAGGCTTGGTCAGGCACCTCTTGGGGGGCTCCCACTGCCCCCTCTCCACCTGCACACAGCCCTCAGCACCCTGGGTTTTCTCGGCATGACACTGTGTACCCCAAGAAATGTTAGCCGTTCCAAAACTGAGCTGAGAGGAGACAGGGCAACCTGCTGCTGCTCAGGTCCTGGG